AAATGGGATGACTGGTTCTTAATTTGACCAATAAAAATTTGTAATGAAGTCATCAACATGGATAATACTAGTCAGAGCACAAAAGAAAAGTAGTCAGAGCGTATTACCAGTGCAAGAAAAAACAGCGAGACGTATATCAACTTGGATTGGTGCACTGTAATACTAAAAAAAAAAACTGTATTGAATTCCCAAAATTTTCTGAGAAAATAGAGTGAGCCGTTCCTGATTTAATCAATAAAATAAACTGACTCATTCATTAATTTTTTGAGACACCCCGCATAAGCAAGTCTAAAAAATATTCATGCAGTGACAAATCACAAGTATAGGCCTATCATATTTTGCACATCTAAGACAGGATTTATTCAACAATATTTTGAGGTGACGTCATAAATTTTTTAGGGGTGATGAGCAAATACATTTTGATAAAAAATTTACCATGCTTATGATAAATTTAAAACATTTCTAAGATTTCAAAGCATTGGGTTTAGCAGTTCCAGATTAAATCAATAAAATAAATTCATACATTCATTAATTTTTTGAGTCACCCTGTATCCGCAAATCCAAAAAATATGCCATAAATGATAAATTGCAAGGACAGACTCATCATAATTTGTACAATTTAGATAGGATTTATTCGGCAAAATTTTGAGCTGACATCATTTTTTTCAGGGGATAATAAATATATTTTGTTTATGTATACTATATATTATGTTTATCATGCTTATCATATTTTCAGTTAGCCTGTATAATCAAATCCAAAAAATATTAATGGAATGATAAATCACAATTATATTTGGACATTTTAGATAGAATTTATTCAGCAAAATTTTGAGCCGACGTCATCAATTACAAAGTTTATTATACTTATCATAACTTTATAACATCTGCAAGATTTCAAAGCATTCGGTTTTGCAAATTCAAAATTAAATTGCAAAATGTTGTTTTGTAATTGTGATTTTTTTTCAAAAAATCTGGACGTTTTGAATAAAAACTCAGCACGAAGTCATAAACCATTGTTATTTAATACAATTTAAAACCCATTTACTATGTACAATTTTGAAACGACGTCATCACACAATTGTGGTGAGGATGACTAGATAAATTTTGGTTAGCGTTTTACCATCCACATGATTTCCTAATGTAAATACAAAATTTGACAACAATTGGCCCAGTACTTTCGGAGATTACCTGTTTAATAAAAATCGGGACAGCAGGCAGAGACATATTCCCGCATGTGTAATTTAAGAATCCATGTTGACTTTTTACGCTAGAGATCCACATTTTTGTGTAAAATTAAAAATTGTATTTTACAATTTAACTTTGAAATTGCAAAACCGAATGCGCTGAAAACTTGCAAACATTTTAAGGTTATAAAAAGTTTAATAAATGAATAATCAAAATTTACTTATTTATGACCTCCCCAAAAAATTATGACGCCATATCATATAATTCTGCCGAATAAATATTTTAAAATTTTATAAAATGGCATGCACCTGCATGTGTGATTTATAAATCCGTATTGAGTCTTTACCCTTGATTTACTTAGATATTTGAAAAAAAAATCAAAATTACCTAACAATATTTTACAAATTAACTTCTAAATTGTAAAAGCTGAATGCTGTGAAATATCTTAAGTTTATTGGAAGCATGGTTATCGTCAATCAAACTTTGTCCATGATCTTATAATCTTGCAGGATAAATGCTCTTCAAATTTATGAGTGTTTTTGGGAAGAAACTGAATGTGATTAATTAATTAATCAGTCCTCTCTTCTGATTTGAAAAGAAAAAATCGGTTTAATTTTCTTTTAAGAGCTGATGCTTGTAATCTGAACTTGTTAGTTGTCTAATTACATAAGCAGTCGAAGTTAAACTTGTACTGAGAAACGGAGAATATCTACATTTTTTCCTGTTGGTTATCTACGATCCAGGGGCTGCGGGATCTTAATTCCACCGCTGGTTTTTACTTTGCGGAGGTTATCACACTGATTGGAACAATTACTTCTAAAATGTAATGCATTACTTTAGCAAATACTTTTTGCACTTTGAAAAATTTGATGAAGATACAATTTTAGATATTTGTTGTATGGGTCCAAAGGGAAACAAACGTGTTAGAACGAAAATGGCAGTGAGTGATTTATTTTACTAACGCATTTGTTGCATACCCACATCAGTAAATAAAATAAAACAAGTAAATACTTCACGAAAGAGGATTAATATCATAATTTAAATTCAATAATAACTGACATTCAAAATTTTCGTCAGCTGAGGTATGACGTTTTTTCTTAAAAACATCCGCGCCAACACTAAACATCCTTTCTCCTGCGGCGCTAGATGGAATTGTTGTGGGACAACATGTTACATATTTTACCAAAAATTGAAGACTCAATTCTTTTGCGTCTAATTTCATTTCACTCTAGCTACAAATAAAAGTTCGATGCCAACTGCAACAACTTTTAAACAAAACTTGCATTGGTGGGAGATTTCAAAATATCTTATTGGCTACGTGTAAATGTATTGTAAATATTAGTCCACCAATCTTTAACAAAAAGGATGTTCCTATATACTTAGAAGGGGGCTACAAGATAATGTAAACTTAAAAGTTTGTCTTTAACTGCCTCTTACTTGGCGTTGTGACTTACAGATTAAATTTAGAAAACCTTAGAGGGTGGACACTCTCATAAAATTTCATGGTCGTATAATGAATGGTTTAAAAGGACGCACTCTATCGGTTACTGGTTATACATTTGAGTGGACCAGAAAATGGCTAAAGTTTGTTTGACCACAAATTTTAAATATTCTGCCCCTGTTTACTAAATTATTTATTAAGATATTTTATTTCTGTAAAGCGCAATGAACTTTTTAATACAATTTCTATTATGTACCTTTTTGGAAATTTGAAATTGATCCATAAATAACGAAAACCAGATAATCTCATACTCTTCAGAATTTTAAGGCGTTGTAGTGTTCTTTTTGACAACAAAATTTAAAAAACGGACAAGCAGTCTGGGTAGGATTTTTTACGCTCATTTCAACGGTGTGAAGTTTATTACAATCGGACGTATACTTTTGGCAAAAACTTGGACAGATGTTTATATGTATTTCCTTATGCTGGAATATGTTTTAGCTCACCCTTAAAATGATTAAGAGTTTATGTATATTATGATTACGTGTTTTTTTAACAAATTTTGTGCTAAACTCGTTTTAAATTTTCACTCCTTGGGTTAATCTTCTGTTTGTGGGGACGAACTAGGTGTAATAATCCCAGCAGGTCAAGTAAACGATTCGTGGAGAAAAACAAAACAATATTTTTGAGTATTTGGGGTAAAAGTAATTGTAAAAGTGACTGAATTACTCAAAAAAAAAGTAATTCGCTACAATTACTCATTAAGTCATTACTTATTACTTCCAAACACTGCACGAAACTAACATCGCAACATCAATTTTATAATTTTTTAATGCAGCAGGATTTGTCGAACTATAGTTTAACGACCAGGAAAGTTCTGTCGAAATAACCTTCGACCATTTTTTTATTGTATCCAAAACGATATATTCACTTTTTGTGAAATTCTTGAAATAAAGTCATCTTTCATCACCTCACAAACACATACATACTAAAATTGTGAAGTTTTGTATAAATAATTTTAGATAATTTTTTTAGCATGTACTGTATATCCTTTGTCACACAAAAACCTGAACTCCGGTCCAGGTCGGGTAGTCACTAGTTCAAAAACCTAATAATTCCGGTCCGCAGTTTTGTTTTGCTTCTTCTGTATTTTCATCTTTCCAGATCAGTTTCAATTTCTTCCAATACCTTATTTTTAAAATTGGTAGTATTTGCTTTTTCCATTAATTTTTTCAAACTAACCAATTATTTTCTCCGCAAAGTGTGCTTTAGAAGTTTGCTTCGTATCTTAATACAGATAACATTTTTTTTCTTTTCCAACTTTGTTTATCTAAATTAAATATTACTTTAACTTTTCTCTCTGTCTTTGTAAATGTCTTGCAAAATATTTACAAGTCATCGGATCGTTATGAAATTTGTAAAACGTAAAGTTTTTTTATTTCTATTTTCTACTAAATCTGATTAATTGTAAACTTCGAAATTCTGAAACGAATGAGAAGTTATTGGCTGTATTTCAAAAACTTAGAATTTGCTACTTATGGCATATATGTAGTTATAATTAAGAACTAAAAAGTATTTTAAAAGAAATTTGATTTTTCAGATAATACGAAATTAAATAGAACCATAGGTATCTTTCCATTTTTAAGTTGTTGCATTCCTAGATGAACTAATCTTTTACTTTATGAATACATTTTTCACAATTACAACTGAACTAAAAACTTCACGGCGAATACGAATACTCTGTAAATGCCAAGAATGCAGTGTTGCCAGTTACCGGGTGCCAGTTTGATACAAGTACATAGTGGTGCCAGTTTGTAGTGCCATTATATCTGTATGTAAATCTGTATATGCAAGAGCTCCCTCTGGTGAGTACACCTTCCAACTAGTGGAATATAAGCCGAAATATATATTGTAAAAGTGGCACCAATACGAAATTTCGTAGTTTTTCGTTTCGATGTCAGATGACGCTAATGAGCTGACTCCCATTTAAAAACATACTGGCACCCAAAGTCGGGTGCCACTTTGTAAAATCGGGTGCTACTAATGCAACGAACATACGTTTTGGGTGCTACAATTACAAAAAACATGTATATATATATATATATATATACGTCAATGATAACTTTTGGCCTCGCGCCAGATTTAGGCAACAAGTAATGGGAGAATATGAAAACCACATCCTAGCCTCAAACCTGTCATATCAGTGTTCAAATTTGTATTTATGGTTGCATCATTTACAAACAAGCGAATGCTTGACACGTTTTAAGGCAGGTAAATATTTGGAGTTATAGTTTAAACTGTTTTCGTGTAAAAGAAAGAAAAAGTGGTATGAATCAGTTTATTCAGAAACAATTTTTTGGAATTAAAACAGCCACATAGAGGCTGAAGAAATTAAGATAATCAAAGAGAAAAGAAAACACAACTTAAAACTAGGAAAGCTTACTTCGTAGTAAGTGCAATTATATTCTATGAACATTTAATACTACTATACAACACCAAAGTAGATTATTCATATTTCTTATGAAGTTAAGGATTGCAATTATTAACAAAGTTGACAACGTATGGATAAAGTTAAATATATATCTTTTAGTCAAAAGAGGTGTCTGCATAATTTGTTACAATGTGTTTGCAGGTATATTTGTACAATGCAACAGCTGCTGCATTCACTATCCAAATGTAATGTATAAATAATGATTTGTCTGGTGTATGGTGCGGTCTTAAAATTAGGTATTTTTACTATATTTCAATTGGATAAATATTTTTACACATATTTGTAAATTCTCGTGCTTTGCCAGTTTTAGACGTAGGAATTTTAATTATTAGCGTATCGTTTTTGTCTTGAATGCCGTCATTCTTTCTCAATTTATCCATTCCATATGCTCCTACAACTTGTAATAAAAAATAAACCTAAAACATAATGATTTATAGACAATGTGATTGACCTTGTTTGAGATCACCTTTAACATCAGGTACATTTAATCATGGGCTTCTGTTAAAAATTTTGGTAAGTCTTCTCTTGTAAATATATTTGATTTCTTGGCAACGTAACCTATATTTTTTGCTTGAAAACTTGGTGTACTTAGATATATCTATGCTGTTTTTTATTAACAGAGTTGACTTTAACTACGACTATGCACCCAAAGTGTTAAAGATTTCACAGAATTTGCTTTTCCAGCGAAATACTCGTATGCAATGAGGTGTTCTCCATGTATTTCGCATGGTTGTTTCTGCGCCAAAAAAAAAATTTTCATACCGCTTTTCATAAACTGTGGCTGAGTTTTTGGGTAATAAATTTGATATATTATCTGCCAGTTTTTGCAAGTTCGGTCGAATGCATGTAAAGTTCTTGTTATTATAGCTATCCATCTCTATTTTGCAATTGCTGCAGATCTTTCTGCAAGCAAAAATATTATTAAAAGTGCCAAAAAATAAGAGGTATGCTTCATACTTTCATTTAAAATGGGCATGTAAGCTAATAATCTGTTCTGTAATAATAATAAAAGCTTATTATAGGTTATGTAGATACAAGAAAATTGTTCAAATTCTTCCATTCCGCATACTCCTACAACCAGGTTCGAATAAAAAATATACCTAAAACATTATGTTTTGTAGACAATGTGATTGACTTTCTTTGAGATTACCTTTGACATTAGGTACATTAATCACGGGCCTCTGCTAAAAATTTTCGTTAAGTTTTCTCTTGTAACTATATTTGATTTCTGGGAAACATAACCTATATTTTTTGCTTGAGAACTTGGTGTACTTAGATTATATCTATGCTGTTTTATATTAACAGAGTTGACTTTAACAACGACTATGTAGCCCAAAATGTTGATTTCACAGAATTTTCTTTTTCAGCGAAATACTCGTATGCAATGAGATATTCTCCATATAATGTTTTCCATGGTTGTTTCCAGGGTTGTATCTGCACCGAACAAAAACTTATTACAGGTTATGTGGATACGTGGTAGATACACATTGTTCGCTGCCATAGAATGTCGCTGCACTTCACGAAATCCGCTGTTGCCATGAAAGGTTGCGACGTTGCAAGATTACGCGCAAATTTAGTTAATAAATTATATGTGTTTCTAATAACTAATAAAAAAGGTTAACAAAGTGTATAGAATTACTGCTAAACCGAAAAACAATTTATAACCTTGTAAAATGTAATTGTGGAGCTAGATAATACTAATATGACAACACCGCATTTAATTTCTATGCCGATTTTTGAACATAGAAAAAGCACATTACTGCGCGATTTCGAAAAAAGAAACATTACTATTTTATAGCAGCTTTTAACCTCTCTTTTTATATTTCTCCAAGAAAGGCGTACATGTCAATTTTAAAATACCAGTTTAAGTTGGAGTAATAAATTTACTTTTATGTGTGTACAGGCACTTCTACAATTAGCAGTACAAGTTTTTGTTAATCTCTTAAATTATTTTTCTACTTATGGACCCAATTTGGATATTTGTTTGAGGGTGTGCTTTAAATTTTAGAAATTAATATCTTGGAACGTTATGCATCGTTTCCATACATTTTTGAGCTTCTGTTTTATCTTCTAATCACTTGGAATTTCATTTCCAAAAACAAAAATTGTACTTGAAGTGATAGATATGAAGCTCATTATTCCGAAACATGTAATTATAAGGTCAAATGTTACTATGCATGAAATGTATTATTTGATATAAAGTAACTTTTGACATCGCATTCTTTAGATTTTTTTCATGGGTACTTTACAGTTAATAGTATCACCATGAAATTGTTTCTTAGATTTGTTTTTTTCTTCCGGTATTTGAATCACAATTTGATATTCTTAAAACAACGACAATTAATTTAACTTTAGCTTGAGTTGTGAACCTGAAAGTTGTTTTGTATGAATTTGTGTGACAAAAGTGTACTAAAGACGAAAATAATTACTTATACTCTTTTACAATCATTAATTACATTTGTAGCAATTTTTGGCCTCTCGTATTTTATATTATTTTATCCAAGAAACAAGCGAAATTTGAAAAACCAGTTTAATATTTTAATGGAGTAGTAATTATGAACCCAAATGTTGCTATGGATAAAAACTATTATTTGACTTAAATTAACTTTTGGCATCACAGTCTTTGGATTTTTTTCGTAGATACTCCACAGTAAACAACATAATTATAAATCTGTCCCTTTGATTTATTAATTTCTCAATCCGCCGATATTCGAAAGACGATTTGGTATTCTTAAAACAAGGGCTACTAATTTAATGTTTCCTTGGACTGTGGGCCTGAAAGTTGTTTTGTATGAATCCATATGGGGTCAAAGTGTACTAAAGATGAAAAGAATGACTTCGTTTATAGCAACTTTTGGTCTCTCGTGTTTAATATTTCTCCAAGAATGTTTTTAATTTTGTAAGATATTGGGCCAATAAAACATATACAGACAACATTATTTGCAATTCTTCCAACCACCTATGGATTCATAAAATATCAACTTTTGCATCTTTAATTGAAATATTGTTCAATTCTAATCTAAACCATGAAAACTATAATAAAGAACTTCAGTCCATAAAACAAATCGCAATAAATAATGGATTTAAAGTAAAATTAATCAACAATCTAATTGACAAAATAACATACAAAATTAAAAAAAAAAACAATGTTGCTCGTTGTTCAAAACGGACCATGATACTAAGGAAGACATAGGTAAATATTATTCTCTGGATTTTATTGAACAATATCTTACAAAATTAAAAACATACTAAATAGAGTGAATAAAAATGTTAATATTTCATTTAGAAAAATTAATTCAACCAGAAATCAGTTACTGAACAACAAAGATAAAATTACTTAACTAGATAAAGCCGGAGTCTATCAATTACAATTTGAATGTTGAGATTGTGCCTTAAATTTTACGAATCCAAGTCGTGAAAGAATACACTACATGAATTTCACTGGTTTGTGTTGACTACATTTTGGGTTTCCAATTTTATATTTATTAATCTGGTACTTCGTTCTAAAAACAAAATTGTGCCCGGAATGATGGGGTTAATTACGTGTTTTCACATATACGAAGCGCACGAGTCCGAAAGTTACCTCACATGCAATTATGAGGCTAAATGTTGCTATGGATGAAAACTATTATTTGACTTAAAGTAACTTTTGGCATCACAGTTACTTTTTTCATAGGTATTTTACTCTTAACAACATCATTATGAATTTATTTCTTAAATTTATTTCTTAGATTTATTTCTCAATCCACCAATATTTGTCTTAACCTCATAGAAAATGCTTCGTCTTATGGAAAAAATCTGAATCTTTACACTTGGGGGTGTGCCTGAATATAGCACCGAATATTGCCTCACATGAATTTTACAGCCTCGATTTGACCAAATTTTGGGTTTCCGATTTTAGATTTAATCATGTACCTAGTCCTTTACTGCATGTTAGCACATGAGTCCGAAAGTTATTCATCATGTAATTATGAGGTCAAAAGTTTCTATGGATGAAAGCCATTATTTGATTTAAAGTAACTTTTGGCATCACATTCTTTAGATTTTTTTAATAGTTACTTCACAATTAATAACACAATTATGACTTTTTCTTTTAGGTTTATTTCTCTTATCTGTTATTAAAATAACTGCTATTAAGTTAATTTTAGCTTGGGTTGTAAGTTTGAAAGGTGTTTTTTACGATTCTATGAGGCCGAAGTATACAAAAGATGAAAATAATTTTAGGTTAGATCGCTCAACACTCATCCAATTATATATTTTTATTTATACTATTTTCGTGTGGTATTGCAAGAATAATGGTCAACAATCAAGTATTTTAGGCTCAAAAAACGGCAGATCAAATTCCTGATAATATTAACACTAATAATTCTTAAAATCTAACCAAATATTGACTTTTTTAAAGTGTTATAAGTTTTCTGACGAGGTGGCTGAGGAAAGGGATGAACCCATAAACTGGTACCACCAAAATAGTATAAATAAAAATAAATAATTGTTTGATTGCAGAACTACCTAACCCAACGTTATACCTACGCTAATATGGAAACAAACATATCAAAATAATTAGCTCATTTATAGCAACTTTCGAACTCTCGTATTTTATATTTGTTTAAGTAGCAAGTACTTAAAAAATTTAAATTACCACTTTAACTTTTAATAAAACAATTTTTATGAATGCGTCTACAGATACTTCTACCATTCACAGTCGTAATTTTGTCTTAACCTCATAGAAAATGTTTCGTATTATGGAAAAAATTTGAATCTCTACACTTGGGGGTGTGTTTGAATATATAGCACCGAATATTGCCTCACATGAATTTTACTGCCTCGATTTGACCAAATTTTGGGTTTCCGATTTTAGATTTATTCATGTACCTAATACTTTAAGATATGCTAGCACATGAGTCCGAAACTTATTCATCATGTAATTATGAGGCCAAAAGTTTCTATGGATGAAAGCTATTATTTGATTTAAAGTAACTTTTGGCATCACATTCTTTAGATTTTTTTTGATAGTTACTTCACAGTTAATAACATAATTATGACTTTTTCTTTTAGGTTTATTTCTCTTATCTGTTACTAAAATAACTGCTTTTAAGTTAATTTTAGCTTGGGTTGTAAGTTTGAAAGGTGTTTTTTACGATTCTGTGAGGCCGAAGTATACAAAAGATGAAAATAATTTTAGGTTAGATCGTTCAACACTTAGCCAATTATTTATTTTTATTTATACCATTTTCGTGTGGTATAGCAAGAATAATGGTCAACAATCAAGTATTTCAGGCTCAAAAAACGGCAGATCAAATTCCTGATAATATTAACACTAATTAGTCTTAAAATCCAACCAAATATTGACTTTTTTAAAGTGTTATAAGTTTTCTGACGAGGTGGCTGAGAAAGGGGATGAACCCATAAACTGGTACCACCAAAATAGTATAAATAAAAATAAATAATTGTTTGATTGCAGAACTACCTAACCCAACGTTATACCTACGCTAATATGGAAACAAACATATCAAAATAATTAGTTCATTTATAGCAACTTTCGAACTCTCGTATTTTATATTTGTTTAAGTAGCAAGTACTTAAAAAATTTAAATTACCACTTTAACTTTTAATAAAACAATTTTTATTAATGCGTCCACAGATACTTCTACCATTCACAGTCGTAATTTTGTCTTAACCTCATAGAAAATGTTTCGTTTTATGGAAAAAATCTTAATCTTTACACTTGGGGGTGTGCCTGAATATATAGCCCCGAATATTGATTCACATGAATTTTACTGCCTCGATTTGACCAAATTTTGGTTCTCCGATTTTAGATTTATTCATGTACCTTGTACTTTACTGTATGTTAGCACATGAGTCCGAAAGTTATTCATCATGTAATTATGAGGCCAAAAGTTTCTATGGATGAAAGCCATTATTTGATTTAAAGTAACTTTTGGCATCACATTCTTTAGATTTTTTTAATAGTTACTTCACAATTAATAACACAATTATGACTTTTTCTTTTAGGTTTATTTCTCTTATCTGTTATTAAAATAACTGCTATTAAGTTAATTTTAGCTTGGGTTGTAAGTTTGAAAGGTGTTTTTTACGATTCTGTGAGGCCGAAGTATACAAAAGATGAAAATAATTTTAGGTTAGATCGTTCAACACTCAGCCAATTATTTATTTTTATTTATACTATTTTCGTGTGGTATAGCAAGAATAATGGTCAACAATCAAGTATTTTAGGCTCAAAAAACGGCAGATCAAATTCCTGATAATATTAACACTAATAAGTCTAAAAATCTAACCAAATATTGATTTTTTAAAGTGTTATAGGGTTACTGACGAGGTGGCTGAGGAAGGGGATGAACCCTGAAACTGGTATCACCAAAATAGTATAAATAAACATAAATAATTGGTTGATTGCAGAACTACCTAACCCAACTTTATACCCACGCTAATATGGAAACAAACATATCAAAATAATTAGCTCATTTATAGCAACTTTGGACCTGTCG